CGGAAGTCGGACGATTTTAATTAGAGCCGAGACTTTTCTAGAGTAATTTAATGAAAGAGGCTTCAGTTCTAGCGTTTTAATGTAAGGCTTTGGAAGCTCTTTGTTGACTGAAAGTATAATGTCAAGAGCTGAGTTGTGTCAGTGCCAAAAGAGGAGCTCTATTCTCTCTTGGTCAGTGCTCAAAGCAAGGTATGTATGAGCGTCCTAGACCTCGAGAAACAAGAACTATTAATTTTATTTAGGATGGGCACTGTTAAGATGACATGAATCTTAAAAGACACCGTTTCCTCGTACGGCTACGGGAAGAGGGCCATGTTTGTGACATATGTTTAAATTAAAAAGGATCATGAACTTCCAGAGGTGGTAATAACATTATCGTTTCTACCCAGTGGCTTAGCCGTTTCTCTGGGGTTAGAGGAAGACTTCCCATATTTAGGGCTACTGCTATTAGCACCGACAGTTAATCTACATATACCAGTACACTGGAGAGTGGTAAGGTCTCTATTGTAGTTAAACACAGACCATAATCGACAAGTGGCTTAAACAGCTGAAAAGTAGGTGTAATTGCCATTTAAAGGAAAATGAGGTTCGGGTGTCAAAAGCGTAATTATAAGCGTAACAATTTCTACATCAGTCACAACTGTTTGATTCTAAAAGAGGCACAAATTTGTGTAGCATGAGTCTGGTAGTAGCAATATTCCGTTCGCCTCAACCAACTGAAATAAATAGAGTACCTCAAAATATAGGCTGCTTTCCATTATGCCAAAATTTTCGGACATTTCAGTCGAGACATTAATACAACGCTTTGGCCAAGGTGGAAATTTTCCGAAAAAAGTGGTCCACCTCTAGAGGTGGGCTACTCAGCAAAGTTTTATTCGGTGAGGCTCCACCCCGAGGTCCAACCCCTAACCCTTTTATATCCTTTTTTTTCGACAAGAAAGGTACCCCTTTCGTATACTTTCTATTTACAAATAGTACCCCTTTCACATGCTTACAGTTAACTCTTTCATAGCGACCACGTCTTATAAGCGACCTCCTCCAGTAAACGACCACTTTGAACATAACCGTTTTGTTTCTCACTCAAGTAGTGTTTTAAAAACTCTCTCGTAAGCGACCACTACTTAAATTTCTTAAACGACCTCGACCACTTTTTATGCGACCACCCGGCTTAATCACGTATGATTGTAAAAAGACCATTGCTCGAATGTTACAAAAGTTCAGTTCTTGGTCAGCGCTATCACAGATTATAGCAATTAACCTCAAAAAAGATTGCTGCAATACAATCTGTAGGTAAAAAGGTGGATTGTAACACTGATGCAGAATGTTATGTACCCGGGGCTATATACAACGTTTCAACAGTTCCAAGCCCTATTCCGTGTGAAACATTATTGCCTGTTGTCTATTTACCTAACTTTTAGCTTTTGAGGTAATAACTTTATAGATTTGCGTTAATCAGTTCAGTTTAAGCGTATTTTCACGATTTTTCTCGCAGACGACCCCCTCCCGTAAGCGACCACTTCGCCGTGCACCAAGGGTGGTCGCTTACGAGAGAGTTGACTGTAGATTAGAACTTTGCATCACCTTTAACCGCCGTAAATTTTGTCTTTTAAGTATGAATTATTCACAAACCCAGGACTTTTTCTCGCCTTTTTTCACAGCCATAAGATGCACCAGTTAGCCCTTGTAACAAACCGACATGACAGATTTTGCCACCCATTCATCTCAAGGCAACCAGTGAAATTTCTACCCTTTCATATACCTGAAGCCTGATAAGCTGGCCCTTTCGGGCGGAGCCCCCCCCCCCCCCCCCCCCCCCCCCCCCCCCCCCTCCCGGCGGCCCCCGCGGCCCCCCCCCCCCCCCCGCCCACGAATACAACACTTTGTGTCACACCAAAAAGACACGAGTCACCCCGCTTGTGGGATTTTCCACAACCCCGGATCTTTTCTCCCCTTTTTTCCCCTGCATTAAAATGCCCAGTTAACCCTTGGAACAAAACTACCTTGAAGGTTTTGCCCCCCATTCAGTCCAAGGCAAACAATGGAAATTTTCCCCCTTCAAAATCCTTGAGCCTGGTAAACTGGGCCCTTCCGGCGGAGCCCCCCCCCCCCCCCCCCCCGTATACCCCATCATAGGGAGTACCCTGGGGGTCCACGCCCACTTGCCTGAGAAGTAATCAAAATTTTGGTCGAAACATAAATAGGACGCTTCGATCCGGTTGGAGACGCTTTCCTTAAATCCCATTAGCTTCCATTTTCTCTTGATTAGTTCCATTAATTTGACTGGTCCGTTTGACAAAATAGAAAGCACCCGCATTGTCTTCGACAATTTTGGTTGGAGATTAATCTTCTGTCAGGAAATTTCGAATTGTTTGACTAGATTGTATTAAAGCACTCTAGTGGTAGTTCTCTCCAAGAAAAAGGGAATATGGAAAATTAACATTGTCATGTCCTTTGTCATTTAATATAATCTAGAAAAAATGAACGAGTTGTGATTGTAGGAAAGTGGCCAAGCGATGCTACTTTTTTCAAGGCGGAATGCCTTATAATGATGGATTAGAATGAAAGTCAGCACGGGTTACTTTAATGAAAGACTTAAGATTTGATCAACGCAGTTTTAGACCATTCTGTTCTTTACAACTTTAGAAAACTATTTGAAACACCTAGCTATCATCGCCTCTTTAGTTACCCGGAGGAAATGAAAATAATTTATCCACTTCAGTTTGACTTGAACTACTTGCAAAATAAGACATCACGTCTTTACCACATTCGACGCACGTATAGGAAATGTAAAAATAAGTATGTTCTAGAAGTTTTAAAATCCTCGAAATATATTTCGCTCTTCGATTTTGCAAGTAGTTCAAGTTATTCGAACACATTCCTAGTCTCGGCATTTACAATTTCTCAAAAACACTTAAGTTTGCTATCAGTGATAAATGTGGGACTACTCATGTAACAATTTCTACCAGTGGTGTACCACAAGAATTCACTTTGGGACCCCTTTGGTGTTTCTGTTATTTGTAAACAGGAAACTTCCATCTCTACTATGCA